TTATTTGAATACATATAAAGTAACGACTTTTAATAGCAAGTCTGTCAAATTGCTATAACTACTTATTTTAGAGAATAATAATTCTGATTCAATAATTGCAAATAATGCTGACAAAAAAACAAAAGAAAAGAAAAGAATACTAAAATATAGAATTAAAATATAAAGTCAGGCAAGAATAAATAAAGCAAATAGGCATTATGATGAGCAGGCAATAAAAATTTTAAGAAATGTTAAAATATAATATTCATGTTTAAATCTAGCATTAGTATATAAAACAAAATAAATAAAAATCTGAGCAACAACATGTGTTGCTGAGAAATATAGAGCATTTGCGAGAAGGAAAATTATAATATACAATCGTTGACACTGTGAAAGCAAAATTTTACTGAGAAAACTCATGATACTAGGCAATTCTGTAAACTAGCACAAGTATTTTTTCAGGCAAACTCATGGTCCTAAATAAATGTGGAAATTTTGAAGATAAAATATGAGTAACTAAAACAAATAATAGTGAAAAAAAAATTCTTTTCAAGAATATACACTATGATGTACAGTTGCAAACATTAAATTTGAAAATAATAATAATAATAATATATATATGTACATTTAGCACTGTCAGCAATGTGAAGAAAATATAACATTATTAATAAAATCTGGAAATACTATACAAAATAAAAATCTGGATGCTGAGAGATAAGAAGCACTTGCTAAAGGGAAGGGAAAATTAAAATGTATGTATGTATATGCATGTATATGCATATTATATATATATATATATATACTTTATATACTTTATATATACCACTTTAATATTATAGTGGCCTAACAGTTTTGAATTCTCATGCAGATAAATTTCATTTTTTTAAAAAAAATATTATGCATTATGGTGGTAATGGTGGCAAATTATTGACAAACGCAAGTGGAATGATTTTAAATAATCTCAATTATTACACGATTTTTTGCAATACCATTTATCGAATATGATAAATTTAGGATGATCCTTTTTAAAGATTTTGCATTGATTTTATTTTAAATAGTGTGGAATTTTCCTTTTATTCATAAGTTAATTTGAGTTTTAAAAATGAAATGGAAAGTATGTATTTTTAAATCAATAACGCAAGATACAAAATGAAAATATTTTCGTATCATTATCTATCAGGCTATAAAATTTCAATTAATATGTATGTAACTTCATTGGGATTCAAAATTTATTTGAACCACATGCTATAGATTTAATTATTCTAGATGAAACAGCTCGCGTGTTTATCAATTTTTAATTTCGAAAAGATGCTACAATTCGAGTTGGTGCTGCACTTCCTTTACCGATTTTCATTGGAAATATGTAAAGTTTAGCACCTGCAATTGGAATTTTATTCATATTGGCAACATTTTCTAGGATAAACAATCTACGCCCTAGAACATAACCGTGACAGGGTGAACTGGTGCTTGTACCTGGATCAATGGACGCGGTATCAGAACCTACTCCTTTGATACTTCTATTCTCCGTCAACCACTTACAAGCTTCTGCTGAGAATCCTGGAAAGTGCAATTTTGTGGTGTCATTACTTGGGGAGCCTAGAAAAGCGTCACGGTCGTTCCACTTCTGCCCCCAACCGGAGTTCAATAAAACTATAGTCTCATTCAAACTCCTTAGTGTAGTGCTTTCCCAGTTCATGACATCCTCAACGGTAGCTACAGCGTCAGGACTGAGTGATGCTTTTCTAGTTATGTCTATGACAGCTGCTTTCCCGAAGAAGGAATGGGCTGGTATCTCATCAACTGTAGTTCCTCCTTTAATAAAATGTGCCGGAGCATCCATGTGTGTACCGGCGTGTGTAGAGGTTGAGAAATCCTCGTATTGATGCCTGTAAGAGAAAAGCAATCTTGAAAAAATAATAATATGATTAATAATTTATGACACAAGGAAATATTTCAAATTGACCTTCTCTTTATGCTGATCATCTGTCCAAATTGATTTAATAAAAGTACGTAAAAATCTAGTAAAAGCTAATAAATGCTTGACTTAGTGGAACTTCGAATATTTACTACAAATGTGATGACCAACGTGCTTAGGTTCCACTGTGTACTGAGATGAAAGATTTCTTGTTTAAGCTGCTATTTCACATTTAAAAAATCTTGAAAGAGTAATTTGCATCATAAGACGAGTATGGTGTGCCAAGGCTGAGAATTTCATTTAAAATGAAAAATTATCGTCAGTTTAGACCATTACCTTTTTTGCCTTTTACTTTTGTCGGGGGGATAAAAAATTATCAATTAATTTATGATAATTTTTTTTTTTTTTGGTTTTCACAGAAAAAGGAAATAATGTCTGAAGAAATGATAAAAAGTATTTTAGAAGTAAAGAAAAAAAAATGGATTTAGTGAGTTAGAAGAAGAAACTTTACTTAACTCAACAATTCCTGACCACAATCAAGTCCACAAATAAAATTGTCTATAATAATGTACCGACTACGAATTAATTTTAAAAAAAGGTCGTAAAATGAAAGACTCTTATATGAAAAAAAAGTGATAATCCACTTTTTTACTGCTATTAAAACTTTAGCTTTTTAAAAGCACTGCGTGTTTAAATCATATCTAAATACTTTGATCATTATTATTTTATACTATGCAGATTTGTTTTGTCTCGTTAAAATAAATCCTGATTAAAATCACTTACCCTGTCACATTAGTTACAGGACATGCGCTTTTTTTTTTAATAAAGATAAACCTTCCCTTAAAATAGATGTTATACACTAATGGGATGAATGATGACCTATTACAGTGCTTTACTATTTAAAAGCATCGAAAAATTCTTGTGGAACTAATTAAACCTGCAGAAATAGTAAACGAGGAAACATTAAATGCATTAAACGTTTTACGAGAAAGTGAAACAATGTTTTGAAAAGCTAAACAATCAACGTCAAGTAATTAAATATTTCGGTTTCACAATAAAGTGTGTCTAAATATGTCATATACGAAATAATTTTATTTATTTATTTAATTTAACCAATCTTGAATATGAATTTAACGAGCAGTTTTCTGTTTCAGGACCGTTTAGTTAAATAATATTTTATATTTAGTTAAATCAAATTATATTTTCTTTACTTTCTTACTATAGTAATGATTAAAAAACCTTATAGAGGTAAGTACAGTTAAGTGCAGATTTATCTTGAAAACTTCTTGGTTATGGTAAATCACTGCTGGCAATGAAGTACTAGCCGCGACTCGTAGCATTAATTTCATTTTTGCTGCCTTATGATACTGATTGTAGAGCAGATGAAGCACGTAAGTGACATTTCCAGGGTAAGTGACATTTTTTGATCATTAAAAATGCACGGAAAACAATGGAAAACAGCGAAACCATCATAAGATTTTTATACAGAGTAAGATTAAATTTATTTATTTACTTTTTTTTATGAAAAGAAAGATTTGCAAACAACTTTAAGATTAAGATCAATACTTACCATTTTGTGATCAAATTTTCACTGGGGCCTTTAACTAATTTTTCGATTTTATACCCACTAAATGTTGGGTAACGTAACGTATTTTCATCAAATACATAAGTCATATCAATTAGTTCCTTATTTTTAGGTCTAGCATTAATGGAATGGAAAATTAAAAACATGAATAAGAAGACAAATATCATTTTCATTTTAAAGGCGAAAGAGAAAACAATTTGTTTACGAATTGTTCCAAAATCTTACATGTTTCGCAAAACAAATATTTCTTGCATTTGCAAATCCTGATTTCGTATGTTTTATTTCACATAAAGGACTATTTCAATTACAGGAATAGAGAGTTTTGATTGGAGCATAGTAAATATGATGAAACAATAACTGAGTTGTTACCCTTCTGTGCAAATATTTTTAAAATACCCATATGTGTCGTGATGTTGATGCTGCAGAAAATAGTATGTGTATTAAATGAATAAATCAGATGTGCCAGTTTAGAATAGAAAAAGCAGCAAGCGATATGGTATTGAACATAAAAATCCTGGCTCCACGAAAACGAAAAAATGAAGAACACGAACTTCAGAGGATAATAAAAACTCTTCAATTCTATGCAAAATCAAGGCAAAAATGGTTAAAAATTTAAAAAATTAGTGACATCGTGGTTCATAAATTTACCAACTATTGAATTTGACGTAGTCGTGATAAAAAAGAAAATTTTACTGATAAATTTATCAGTATGAACAGTATGTAATTCTCATAAACAAGTTCTTGAGGGAAATTTTATCCTATTACGTTACTATTTTAACTAACATCTATGTTTATAAACATGAAATCTCTACTGAAACGACAGGCCTGATATCAATTCATGTCTCAATTGTTTCCAGCGTCTTACAAGCAGATTTCATCTCCAAATTATCGTCTAAGGGAATTTGTTATCAGTGCATCATCAGTTCACAAAGGAATTCGGCACACACTTATTTATAAATGTTTAAGCTTAACATTTCTATCCAGTAATAATCTGAAAATATAAAGTATATTTTCCGATGTAACTTCTCAGGAAGCACAGAATGAGGAGAAACATTAAGCAATACTCTAAATTATTAAGAAATTATAGGATTTACGTACAAAAATATTGTACACGTGAGGTATTGTTTCCTATGTATTTTCGCTCGCTTAAACGAATGAGATTAAACCCGAATCAAGAGGGTTAATACTTCAAAAGCTATAATGGATTTATTTTATGTAAAATTTTCTATTTTTGAACTGCATTTATTTGGAAGGAAACCCTTATAGCTTCAAAACTATTAATCCTATCAACTCGGATTTTAATTACTTAATTTTATTTGAGAAAATTACATCGAAAAATATGTTCAGATGGATTTTGGATAGAAATTTTTAATGCATACATTAGTACGTGCCAAAGGTAATACTTTTTATGCATAAAACTATTCAATCTTTTTAGCTATAAGTTTCATTAATCTTTAAATAGTTTCATACGTTTAACCATTAAAAATACATAGGAAACAATATCCCACTTGTTTAGAATGCAGTAAAAAAGGCGTAAATAGCTACAAGCACAACTTTTTACTTTTTGTATTATAAAACCCTTGTTACTTTTAAACTACAAATTGCTTCTAAACTCGAGAGTAGTAGCATTGAATTTAACGTATACATCGGGAACAAATGCTTCACTCGCCTGTCGGGCAGAAATTCAATGCTCCATTCAAATCACCACCATTTCTTCCAAAAACGGGTGATTTATACCATCACCTCCTACATCAGAAAGTCTCCACATAGTTTTTATAAATAGTCTGCGCAGACTATATTAAAAATGAACCAGTTGTGAGCATGAACCCAAATTCTATTTTAAAAATAATTGAGAGAAATTTATCATATATATTTGAGAATTGAATCTTTGGCGGTTGACAAATAAATAAGTCAAACCAATAGTTATAAATAAAAAAATTTTTTAAGCATATATTTGTTACCACTTTTTTATTTTACTAGATTTTGTATTAAAGAACTCTTTCGTACACTGGTTTACTTTCATGGTGGTCTGATCGAACTAACTGCAAGAAATCGTGTGGAGGCTTTCAGTTGTAGGAGTTTTTAGGTAGCATTTATAACAGCATAGCATCCTCAAAGAATCATCGGTATTAAGTTTTGCGAAGAAACACCCTTTTTTTTTCTTTTTAATTAGTGGGTTTTTAATGAAAGAGAATTTAATATAATACTTGCAGATTTTTTGCATATCATAAAAGATTTCCTTAAATGGAAGTGGAATTCAAGTTAAGTAATCAATTGTGAACGGAAATATTTTCATATTAGTCAGAAAATACACACCGATTTAAACATTAAGTTCAAAGTACCTAGTCCGCAGAGCTATTTGCTCTTTCATCGAAATTACATTATAAAATTATTTAAAAAAAGGGGGAGTGAGAAGATATTACGTCAACGTAAAATTGGATAAAATCATAGTATTATATAATCATACGTTTAAAAATTGGTTTTATTGTTTTCATTTCGAGTGGTGGTTGAAATGATTTTAAACAAGTTTTATAAATGCCAGAAACAAATTGGAGAAGATAGAGCAATAACTTATTTTAAAATATTATGAAAAATTCGAAAAAATTGACTGCCATGCAATGTAGATGCATTATGAAACTAGAAAAGAACGCATTTTATGCTATAAATCTTGCAAATATTTAAAATATTTCAACGTACTAATAAGGTCAGTCTTTCCACGAACTTTACAGATTTAAAATTTGCTCGGAACAGTCAACAACTGCGGATTCTGCGTTCTTAATTTAATTTCATATAAAAGGGGTAAAGCTTTATATAAATAATATTTTAATTATTGTATTTTTAAATTCTTTGAAATGTTTTCGACCACCATAAAAAATAAATCAGCCATACAGAAAAAAATAAGTTGTTTAAATGATAGCATGCTTAAGCTCTTACAAATTAATAATTTTTCTTCTCGTACAATTGTATTTTAATTAATTTTTCACAACTACTTTGAGATTCCTTGCACTTACATTAGCAGAGATAAATTCACGATATATAGCTAAATAACCTATATCAATATAAGCCGGTAGTATTGCGCAGTCTTTTATTTCTGAAGCAGAAGAATAAAATGAGCTTTTAATCTGTTGAGAAAAACAGGTGTTTTTTTAAGATAAACATTATTAGTGATCTTTGGATACTTTGAACGCTTTCTTTCTAACCTTCTTTAAAGAATGTTTTTTTAGAAGTTTGGTTGAAAAAGAGTTTTTTTTTAATTGATACTTATTTAAGAATAAAACAATTTTCACATAATGACCAATGTAAACGAATACTTATTTTTGGTTATTATTTATTCTTTAGTTTGTTGCTCTGCTTCTCAGACTTCTAAAGGTAAAGAAGTAATTTTTTAATTAGTTTTAGATGTAATTTTAATTTATTTGCGAATAATAAAAATTATTATTCTCATGATATTTATATTTTAAAGGTCTAATGCTGACTGTGTTAATGAGGAAAAACAATGATATTAACTTTCTTAATTAATCGAACATACAAAGCTTACCATATTGTATGAAATCTGTAATCTATCGTTTTAGCAAGCAATAACGTATATTTTTTTAATACTCTTATTTACATAACTTTTATATTTTAAGAAAAATAATCCAACAACAAATTTTCCAGAAGAAAAAAAAAACTAATAACTTATGAAAGAATTTTTTTTTAATCATTAATTTAAAACATGTTTTGCGCTCATTCTGGACATGATAAATCCTATTATGACCAGTCGTACAAACATTTTAATAAATTAGAATGATTCCAATTTCTATGAAACTTATTGATTCAACCAATGCATCTCTTACAAGTAAAAATATATGTATTCAGCAACTTTTTAAAAATGGCCGACCGGTCTGTGTAAGGGGAAGGGAACTGTCCTTGCATCCGAAAGGTTTTTTATTCGAATCCTGGGAAAGGCATGGATGTTCTTTCCTTCTCTGTACCACATGTCCTCACTGTGGGAGAGACGTGCCCCTGAAAGAGGCCAACAAAATCGTCCTGTATATGCCTGAATTGACGGATGTTAACACAGGTGGGCATTGGAATTTTTTTTTTTTTTAAAAAACTTATTTTTTCTTTCAAAAATACAATTTTCTTTTTGAAAGTAAAAAGACGTTTCCTCTTATTTTGCGGAACCCAGAAAAGATTTTCACGTCTTGTCTTGTCTTGTTGGTTGGCCGGGGTGCCTGAGGCCGGAACGGCCCTTTACCCCTTCATCGTGAGATGAGTTCCTGGAGGTGTTTCCTTCTGGTGCTGTAAATCTAAAATTGAAAGTAGAAAAATTAGTAATGAGCAAATTTCTCATGTAGTATCACATAAAGTGATGCCATTTGTAGTTACATACATAAAAATACAGTAAGAAATAACACATAAAGTACAGTTCAAAAGTAAAAATTAAACTTCGAATGTGAAGTTTGTCCAGTATTGTACGCCCCTAGTACAATTATTCTCTGTCATCTCATTCATTATTCTCTAACATCTCTTCCATTCACACTAACCATACAGGTTCTATTTCTCATTCTCTTAATGCAAATCATAATGATTTTGTCAACGCTTATCAATCTTTTCCTATATTAGGATTGTCCAGTGTATTATAGTGCCATTATACAAGGTATAGGTCCATTGAAATTTAAGCTATACAGTAAAGGTTTTCACGTGGTATATATTAGTAGTATATATATTAATAATGGTTATACTTTAACCAGATGTCAATATGAAAGTATTTTTAAAGCTAGTGTGTGTAATTAGAAATTAAAAAAAAATAAAATCTAATTACAATAATTGCGAAATTCACTTTAATACTTTAATCAAGCACAATATATATATGAA